GGCTGACTATCCCAGCTAGTAGATCCATTTGGGAACCCCTGTTCTTAGAAATAAGAAAGAATATGAACCTCTAGATTTCCTGTTTTGAATTTTTGGGTCACACCTGGTGGTGCTTAGGGGATATTCATGGCTCTGTCTTTGAGGTTTACTCCCTGGGGTGGCCCAGGGATCGTGAGGTTCTGGAAATCAAATTCAGGGCTCCTGCATGCATTGCATTTATTTCAGTCCATTGAGCTATCTTCTGGCCCTTGTTCCCTGTATTTGTGTGGCCAATCAAAAAGAATAATAATAGGGAACAAAGTGGAGCATTCCTTTGATCTAGGTTAAATGGGTAAACTTTATTTGTAGAGCTAAGATATTAATAATAATTTTTAAATTACTTAAGGAATTCCAAGAAATTCTACAGTTTATTTCGTTGCAGCATATGAAAGTAAATACTAAGATTTAAGAGTTCACTTTTAGGCTGAATAAAATATTATACACATTATTAGAATGAGAAATTGATCAAGATGAGATATAATTTATTTTTGAGAAAGCAAAGCCAGAAACTTAGATATAAAGTCTGTGGAACTATTACAAAGCTATTTGAATATAAATAACAGTTATTTATAAATATGATTATAAATAAGGTAAAGGTAAAGGCCCTCCCGTTGTTCATTGATTTGCTCGAGCGGGCCCAGTAACGTCTCCATTGGAGACTTTGTTGTTACTGTGTTTGGCATATCGAATACGTCATGGGGAGCTTGCCGGGCTCTCCGAGAGGGGTGGAGGAATCGAACTCGGGTCGGCCATGTTGGCTGTGTGCAAGGCAAACGCCCTACCGCTGTGCTATCGCTCCAGCCCATGATTATAAATATGATTATAAAATATATTAAGCTAGTTTTATAGTCAACATCACAAAATCAAACTGATTGATCATAGATCTCCCTGTATTATATTTTGAATGTAAACTGGAGAACTCTATCACTATTTTTAGAGAATTATCGTTAATCTACAATGGTGTATATATTAAATAATATCCTAAGACTAACAGATACAAATTTAAACTATTTCCTTTAAATAGAGAATTTCTTTTTAAAGTTAGACCATAAAATACTTGAGTACCAACATACAATTTTGAAGATAACAATATATTTTCATCTTTACAAATAGGAAATATGCAATTATTAACTAAATATTTGGTACATAGGTTGCTTCATCAATATCAACATTTTTCTTAGTATTTTTAAATAAACAATATAAGTTAAATATGTTTTTACTGATGTTATTTTTAAAATTACCTATAGGAATTACTTGCTCTTCCATTACTTTGAATGCTGCATCTTTAAAGCAGAGATTTTTTAGTTTTTTTCTCGTCTTCGTAAACATGATGTTAATACCAATCAATCTTTCTGATATAAGTTAGAAAGTGAACTGGGGACTGGAGAGATAAAACAGTAGGCAGGGTGTTTTCCTTGCATGCAGCTGACCTGGGTTCAATCCTTGGCTCACCATATGATCCCTTAGCTCCCAGAAGTGATTTCTGAGTGCAGAGTTAGGAGAAAGCCCTGATCACTACCAGGTATAGCCCAAAAACCAAAAAAGAAAAAGAAGAAATGTGAAGTTCTTAGATTGAGTTTAGTTCTCACAAATCTTAAATTTTGATTCAGGCTTGATTTTTTTCTTTAATACTCAGAATGTCCATTTTGAAAAGTTTAATAACTGAGGAAAAAAACCTAAAACAATATAAAATACATCTTATATATTGATTTATGATCTATTTATTTAATAATCATGATACTGATTATGAATTTAAGAATATTCTTACATTCTTAGAACAGAAAATAAATAAAAAATAACAAAGAAGAATAATAGACCACACTAGTTGACTCGTGTAAATGTGAGAAATCATATGTATGAATATTAAACTTTCACAGCAACCCTAAAACAATAATGGTCTGTTTTAGACTATTAATTTTGAAATTAATGTATTATTTCTAATAAATTAATGAGTTAAGTTTTAATCCTAATAAAAAATAGTCATTTTTGTCTTTCTTACACTGTAATGTGTGTTCTTACTCTATCCTGTATAGTGGCCACTAGCCATAGCTTACTCAGCTCTTCAAATCTTGCTAGTGACATTGAATTTTCATTGCATTTCATCAATATAAAATAGTCACAGATATTGTATTGGTGCTAGTCTTATTGATCCTTTAAACATTCATATAGTTGTTACAACTGGAAGGTAGGTTTTTGGGAGATCCAGAAATCTTAAATTATCAGTATTCTGTTGCCAAATCTCTGCCAGTAATTCAGCATGTTATTAAAAATTTCAAATTTTAAGTTAATAAAACCAAAATTAAGCTTTTTAGGCTGCTTCTCTGCATGAATCATTTTTTTTTTTTTGCAAAGAGGTGTAAGACTGATTTAATGCCAATTCTTCCTACACTTTTACAGACAGAAATCAATGATTAGGTTCAGGCATTTATTTAGGTTATTCTCATAAAAATCATGGCTTCTATAATGCAAATAAATGACAGGAACATTTCCACTAAATTATCCCAGACAGCACATGTACTTTCCAAAAGTAGAGACTGGATCTACAGCCCCCACACATAGCTTGTTACATCTGTTTATGCTTATGAAAGTAAAATCCATTTCTTCATAGACAAAAAATGGCAATTTCTTGGGAACATATCCAGAATTTGGTGAGGCTGAAGAAAAAAAATCCGCTACTGAAACTAAAGGATGGCTAGAAGTGAGTAGCCTTTTTGTAACAATATTTTGCTACCAGAGTATAGATTCTTTATATTGATTTACTGAAATTCATACCCCGCCAAAAATTATTTACTAGCTGAAAAAGCCGAGGGTAAATTCCAAAGTCTGGTTCTCAGTGTTACCATCTGTAAAATGAAGATAGTAGTAGTTTTGGGCAAATCTGTGTAACGCTTTAGAATGGAAATGAAGAAAAGATTACTGGAAATTCTTTCAGTGGAATGTTGGATGTTACCTAGGTCAGGGAGCTTTGTAGTTCGAATACTTCTCTGCTTCTTTATTTTTTACAAGACTATTTTACTAATTTGTAAGTCATTTGATGAGGCTCTTATCAAAAGGAATTATTTTTTATTGTTGCTTGAAATATAGTTGATTACAACTGTCTTGTAGAACAGATAATTCAAAACATATCTTTGTGCCTTATAAAATATTGATCTTTTTGATTAACTATTGTTCATGTTTTCCTTTATATTGGTTGCAATATCTTTCCATTTCCTTTCCTAATGAGTCAAAGAACAGTATTGACACATCGTCATCAAGTATTTCCATGATAGACATGTTTTTAACCATTTTGGGGAAAGAAAGATCCTTTAAAAAGAGTACTGAGGTCTGTCTCATGATTAGCTTTATGTTTTGTAAAAAAGCAGGGGCACTTTCAGTACTTGACCAGGGATTGGGGGTTGGTTGTTGGTGAAGAGGGCTTACTAGGGGGTACTAGGCACATATAAAAGTGTTGTTAGTGTTGGTGAAGAGGAGGTACTAGACACATATTAAAAAGGGTTGTTAGTGTTGGTGAAGCGGGGGTAAGGCACATCACAAACGGTTGTTAGTGTGGGTGAAGGGAGTACTAGGCACATATAAAAAGGGTTGTTAGTGTTGGAGAGGAGGGGGGTACCAGGCACATAGAAAAAGGGTTGTTAGGAGGTTCTAGGCACATATGAAAAGGGTTGTTAGTGTTGGCTATTAGTATTGGTGAAGAGTATGTTCTTGGGGAACAAGGCATATAAAAAAGGGTGGGGGGGGGGGGAGGCGCGGAAGGTTGGAACAACTTTCCTGCAGCCAAGTCTGAAGACCTTTCTCATCCCTGTCCTTTGAGGTCCTTACGCTAAGGTGGGCGTTAGTTGGGCCACAGTGGCCCATACAGTGACCACCACGCACGTAGGCCGAGGTGGCCTTGCAGGGCAGGAGAGAATCCTCGAGTGCTGGATGTGCTCTGAGGTCACGGAGTTCACCGCAGACCTCGTGGGCTTCCAAACAGTGGACACCCGTGGAACCGGGCACGAAGACCGACCTGCCCCCGAAGGTCCGGCCTAGCCCCGGGCTCCAGAGGCCCCTCGCCCACGGCCTAGGGGGTGGGGCGGCCCCGCCGCGGGCCGGTGCTTCTCGCCCTCGGTTGGCCGCCAGAGGCTCCCTCTCTCGCTCCCTCTCCTGGGATTTGGCTGCCGGGGCTCCCTCTCTCTGCGGCCCTAGAGTTAAGCCCATCGCCGAGGTGAGGCACCTGTTACCCCCGGCCTTGCTCAGCCCCCGCGGCCTCCCGCCCTTGACACCCGCGCTTCCGGCCCGTTGGTCCGGGCGCGGGGGACCGCACGTGGGCGAAGCCCCCCGCCCCCCATCTCGCCCCCTCCCGGCCTGCCCCGACCGGGACGCCCCCGCCCCGCCACCCCACGGCCCAGGCCGGCCGCCCCGAGTGGGCGATCGGCTGTGGGCCCGGCCCCGGCGCCGGGCAGCGAGCGCCGCGCGCGTCCCGGGGCCTCCGGCGGCGGCGGCGGGCAGGGCGCGCGTGGGGGCCGCGGCGCGCGTGGAAGCGGCCGCCGCAGCCGCCCTGCGCGCTGCGCCGTGAGGAGCGGGCGGCGGGGCGGCGAGCGGGCCGGCGAGCAGCCGCGGCCACCGTGGGGCGGGGGGCGCTTCCGAGGAGGGGGTGGGAGCCGCGGCGGCCCGACGCTCCCCGGCGGCGGCGGCGGCGGCTCCCGCTCGGGTAAGGGGGAGGCTGTGCGCGGGGCGAGGAGTTGGGGAGGGTGGAGGAGAGGAGGAGGACGGAGATCGGGATGTACAAAGGCTGGGAGTTGCAGGCGGGGGGTGGGGGTGGGCCGGGGTGGGGGAGCGAGAGGTGGCGGACAGGAGGCTTGATCAGTGGCATCTATTGTCTCTCGGCACGTTGCGAGGAAAAACAAAGGGATTGATTCTCATGACCCAGTCTTTTTTTTTTTTTTTAATTTTTTTTTCCTTCCTCTTTCTTTTCTTGTTGCAATGTGGCCGGGGAGCTGGGCTCTTCCCGTGCCACTCTGGGATCCGCCTGGCAGCCGCCGGGAGCCGCAGCCAATGTGTTAGGACTTCAGGTGCTCCCGGGCACAAAGCTAGACTGCGACCTCCTACCATAGCGCTTGGCGTCACCTGCTCTCCCGGCCCTGCCCCGGGGCCGAGGGATGGCGTCCCGAAGCAGGCTGGGGACTCGGCTGCCTCTCAAGTTGGTGTTATTTATGTTTGTCTTTTGTGAGGGCAGGTTTTGAATCCCCCGGCGGCCCCACCGCCTCCGCCCCCGCGCCCCCCCTCGGGTTGGAATTGGCGGGGGAGGGAGTAGGGTGTGTGTGTACCGGGGGGGAGGGGTGTTTGTGGAAGGCTTAAAAAATGTCAGGGTAGAAGGAGATTGTCAATGCTTTACCGAAAAACAAAAACCCAACCCCCCCAAACCAACCACCCCCAAGCCCCCCAACCAGGCACCACACTCTAAAGCCTTTCTTGTTTGTCTGCATGAGCCATGCATGCATGCTGGGCCAGGAGCCGAGTTTGGAGCCGATTTTAAGTGAAACTATGTGCTTTCTCAGCCGATTGTAGGTTGAGGGAGAGAGGACTTGGCCTAATATTCAAAACAACATAACAAAAGCAAAATGCCAAATCTTTAGGACGACATTGATTGATCTTCAGCAACTCTTGAAGTATTTGATTGCTGGCATCTTAATATAAAATCCTGCTGTGGGCTATGGGAGACTAGAAGGCATGCATTGCGTTGGATTTGGGCTTTGTAATAAGTTAGTGGCAAGTAGGAATGAACAAGTCAGGGCTGTGAAAGGCAGCTTCATGGTCTGTTTGTTCTCTGATCTTCACATTCCCATGCGTTTATGCCCATGATATTCTACATCCTACCCTGTAATTAATAGGAAATGTTCTTCGGAAACTTCCAAATACCTGGACTTAAGAGTGAAACTTCATGGTATTTCAGAACTTTCTTTTATCAGTTTTGGTCTGAAATTACACAAATGTTAACTTTGGAGATGTTATCAATGTGAGTTTTAGACCAGAAAAAAGTGAAATAAGCCTGTTAGGCATGTTTTTGAGTTTATAAATATTGAATAAAAAAACTTTCAGTAATACATTTACTGGAAGAATGAGTTCTACCTGGTGTAGAGAATCCCAGATAAAGAGTTCGTTTTCTGAACAGCATGATGATTTAAGATGAACTATTAGTTTCTTTTAAAGTCATTCGTAAAAGAAAAAACTGGGCTAAAGTATTGTTTTTTAAGTTTATAGATAACTTGCATGTGTGTATGTATAATTTTGGTAGACATCTCATTGTGTTCGAAGCATTTTTGTTAGCCAAGAACCAATCAGAATTATAAATTGAAACTTGGCTTTTAACTTCCCGTTTTATAAGTGGTTTCTTCTTTTTGACATGTACCATTGTGACACTTTGTAAATAAGTTGTGTATTGATTGGCTGAACATAAAGTCAAATAAGTAAATGAATTTAGAAATTCATTCTTTTTTATTCCAGATGAACCTCTAGTCTTGCTTTGAAAAAGCCACTTTGTGTAATTCTTGACTGAATAATTTCCTAATACACCTGTTGGTCGGATCACTGACACAGTATGCCATTTGAGAGGTACTTTTTCTTGCCCAAATACTGGTGATTAGAGAAGAGAAGTGTTTTATTTTTGTTTATTTTTTCCTCTGATCATTATGAACATTGGCTTTTACTCCTGAAGTAAAAATGTTGAAAGCAGAGCCTTCAGGTGAAAGAACCACTCTCAGAAGTGCCTCTCCTCACAGGAATGCATATAGAACTGAGTTCCAGGCACTGAAAAGTACCTTTGACAAACCCAAGTCAGATGGAGAACAAAAATCAAAAGAAGGTGAGGGCTCCCAGCAGAGCAGGGGGAGGAAATATGGCTCCAATGTCAACAGAATTAAAAATCTGTTTATGCAGATGGGTATGGAACCCACTGAGAATGCTGCAGTCATTGCCAAAACAAGGGGGAAAGGTAGACCTTCATCCCCTCAGAGAAGAATGAAACCCAAAGAATTTCTTGAGAAAACAGATGGCTCAGTTGTTAAATTGGAGTCCTCTGTTTCAGAACGAATTAGTAGATTTGACACAATGTGTGATGGTCCCTCATACTCTAAATTCACGGAAACTCGGAAGATGTTTGAGAGGAGTGTGCATGAGTCAGGACGAAACAACCGCTATTCCCCAAAGACAGAGAAAGCTGGAGGGGGTGAGCCTCAGGATGAGTGGGGTGGTACCAAGTCCAACAGAGGCAGTACTGATTCCCTGGACAGTCTTAGCTCTAGGACAGAGGCTGTCTCCCCTACAGTGAGTCAACTGAGTGCAGTATTTGAGAATACCGAATCCCCCAGTGCCATTGCTCCTGAGAAGTCTGAAAATGAATACTCAGTGACTGGGCATTATCCACTAAATTTACCATCTGTTACTGTGACAAATCTTGACACCTTTGGTCACCTTAAGGATTCCAACTCTTGGTCTCCAACAAGCAAATGCGGTGATGATACAGAGGATGTTCAGAAGAGTAACGCAACTCCAGTACCGGAAGTAGCTTCAAAAAGTACCTCTCTAGATTCGATGCCTGGTGAAGAGACACAGCTGAACAAGGAAGCTGAGGACTCTACATCTAATCAAGAGACTCCGGACAGCATCGACAAAGGCATTTTTGAAGAATCTTGTGCTGAAAATAAGGCAATGCCGGAGTTTAAAATTCCTTCACCACAAAATGAACCATTAGAAGATGCTGAAGCTAATTTGGTTGGGAGTGAGACAGGAGTACAACCAAAGAAAGAGCTTGCAGGTGGTAATTTTACCTCTGCTGATATATCTGGATCCAGTTTTGGGAAAGAAGTACCTGAAGATTCAAATAATTTTGAGAGCTCCCATGTTTACATGCACAGTGACTATAATGTGTATAGAGTAAGATCTAGGTATAATTCAGACTGGGGAGAGACAGGTACTGAACAGGATGAGCAGGAGGATAGTGATGAGAACAATTACTATCAACCTGATATGGAATATTCAGAAATTGTCGGATTGCCAGAAGAAGATGACATCCCAGAAAACAGAAAAATAAAATTTAGTTGTGCACCAATTAAGGTAAGTATCTTTTCTCAGTTTGTTTTCAAAGTTTTTTTCTAAGTGTTTTTTTTTTTCAGTATTGGGCCTAACTATATGCAGAATAGATTTGATACCTGGGTAGCTATGAGAAATTCCAAGATTCTTGTTATATGCATGTTCTCAGGTAATTAAAACAGGAGTTTGATCAGGTTTTTATATATGTTTTATAGCTACATAAGCCAATATTAAACAATATGAAAGTTGAAGAAGTTGTGAAATTGTGTGTGTCAGATACATTCCATTGGATTGGAGCATGAATAATCTGATAACTGAAAACAAGGTGTGTTGGTTGGAAATAAAAATGCTACTTTACTAGTTTCATCTAAAATTCCCATAAAAACTAAAATGTTCTGAATCTAAGCACAGAGGATAAGGTATAATGTACAATGAGTTAGTTATGGGAACTTGGAAAGTGATAGTCTTTATTTACTTTAAAAATGAGTTATTCTTTAAGTCTTAAGTGGATTGTGAGTAATGCTAGAATTTTTTTGTTATTGTTCTGCTACTTATTACTAAAAGTTTGATTCAAATGAATATATGATATGGCTTAAATATTCTAGTTAGAAAGCTATGGCTATAAATAACTTTGAATTCATAATGTTTTATGTATCTTTCAGATGAATTTTTGTGAAAGGACGTAAAGTTGATTTGCCATTTATGATTTTATTTTTACCTCTTAAAAGCTGGATAAATGACAGTTGGATTCAGATTCACTATTCTAATGATCACTTATTTATATTTATTGTAGAAGAATAACATAGAGTACATGTTACTTAGTGTAGAAGAATAACATAGAATGCATGTTATTCAGCAGAGGGTGGCGAAACATTATTAGCTGATAATGGCAATTGGGGCAGGGAGGTGGTTGGTCGAATATCAGAATCTCCTGGAGTGCTTTTTGAAAATGTACTAGTCCATCCAGTTTCGTCAAGATTCTGGCATGCATTCCAGGGGGAAACTGGAGGGTTTATGATGGTGGAATGTGTAGTTTGAAACCACCTTCTATGGGATTCTAGCACTCGCAGTGTAAGTATGATATATTTGGAATTTGCTATAGTATCTTTTTCTTATCAGTATCTAAAAATCACTATTCATTGTTATTTCCGGCTTGTGAAACTTCCATGTAAGGCTGTAAGACATATTTACATTGAAAAGAGAAATATGACTGTGCTTTACTGTTTCGAAATGGAAATAATAATCTATCAAATTATTTACAGGTGTTAGCAGGAAAATTTTTCATTTCATTAGTTTAGGGACTTTCTGGATCAGGTTGTGCTAGGTTAAACTATGTTTAAAGTAACCTGGAGATGAGAATCGAATTTCTAAGTTAGCTAAGTTTCTTTGCTTTACTACTTCCCTTTGTTATTTCTCTCCTATCCTGTGTTCTAGGCACCCTTACTTCAGCATTATCTGAAATTTCATAATCCTGTTCCCTTTGGATATATTCCCCTTTAAACGTCATCCTTCTACCCCTTAGGAAGAGCAGAGTAAGATTAATTTGCTTCACATTGAACAAGGCAGGAATAATAGCAACAAAGTCTCCAAGGAATTTGTTTAAATCCAGTGACAGTCTCCTTAATATGGGGGATTGTATATTATGAAATTTATCAGCTAGAGCACTTCCCACTCAACCAAATGGGTACTTCCCTTCTGCAAGGGTCTTATGTCACATAAAATATAACTGTGTATAATATAATGGGCTTTCAAGGATTTATTATTGAAGTATGTCAATTTTTATGTGAGCAGTCCACCTTTTTGTATATATTATGAAGTTCAAGTGTTTTTTTCTTGCTGTTGCTTATAACAATTCTCTGCCTTTTAATTTTCATATAATATCAAGTATTTTATACACCAAAGAATGAAAGAGATCATATATACTTAAGTTTAACTCATTCACTGAGAACATAGACATAAGATTTGTAAAACAAAAAATGATGTATTCCATTTTACTGGGTAGTTAACAGTACTAGCTGGAGTGGATTTAGTTTGCAAACAGAAGACTCATTCTTAGTTTTTTGCAGTGACTAAGACAATTACTTTTTTGTTGTTCCCATTGTTTAATGAGTAATTAGATTTACTTGGAGATTTTGAAAGACACTTTTCTCCTGGTGGGAGTGGTGATGATAGTGTATAGATTACTCTCCAATTTTTTGCATAAAAGTTTGTAGTAATTTAACTCAGTATTTATATCTGGCTATCATGTTTCTTTTTTGAGTCTTAGCTGCAGAGACACAAACATCCATAAAGTTATCCCTTTTGGCTGTAAACTTTTGAGTCACTTTATATCACATGGTATTTAAAAATCTATGCAGCACTGTAAATACCTGTGCCAAAATGTCTGATGTCTTCTGAATACTTTAACTGTACTTGAGTGCACTGCATGCATAGAGTAAATGTATTTTATCATTTGGAAAGGAATAATCATTCAGCTGTTACCTATGTATATTTACTTATTTCTTTTGTAAATGTTTATTTGTGGAAAGAAAGTTATACTTTTTAACCTGAATCTTTTACTTCAAAGTTTAAACACACTTCATCTTTCAAAAGCAACAAAGAACATCTTCCTTACAGAATGATCTTTACAACTTTTACATTCTTTTTTGATACTCTCATTTTATTCTTCACTAGGGTAAATATTCTCATTATTTTTAGACACTTGTTTTTGATATTTGTGTGTGCATGTTTCTGCCCTCAGTTTCTATTTTAATTATTCCCTAGGTGCACTCAGTAACTATTTTCTGAACATGTCTTAAATATGGACCTAGAAAAGCGTTCAAATTGCTGGTCTTTCCTATGTAGTATATTCCTGGTGTATAAGTTTTGATGGCTTTTGGTAATGACTGGATTGAATTGCTGACCAGGATTTAATATCACTCCTTTATCTTTCATGTACACAGTTAATTTTTATTTGATAGATTGATGTTTTTCATGGGGTAGTAAAAGTTAGAATGAACTTAATAACAAAATAGAAAGTTTGAGTTTGAGATATGGAGTGAGAAAATGTTTGAAACTATTTTGATTTCACATATGAAATTATGCCTTACTTTTTAGGAATTCCTCAGAAACAAAGGGGTTGAACTAATGGAATTTTAATAAATCAAGGATAGAAAAGGTGACATTTATTAATGTTATTTTACTAATTTAGAACATTTACTGAGATATTGGTATGTGTCTGGAGCTATTTTATTGTAATAAATATACCAAAGGAGTAGAGCTGATTAAGTCAGCAACTACTGGTAGATGGGCATATATACCCCATTATAGAAGCTTCTTAGGCTATTCTGCTTAACTTTGCACTTGGATAATCTAAGATCTTAGATTAAGGGAATCATAATCCTTTCTCTGTTTCTGGTGGTCTTTTATTCTTTGCATTGATGTTTTTGAAAAATAGTCATCCTGAAAAAGGTTTTCTGGATTGCCAATAAGGAGACTGCAAGGTTAGTATTGAGGTGTATGCTGCTATGTTTTTATGAGTATATCCTCAGCTTCCTAGGAGGAACACCAAAATCAGGAATGCTTCTCTTTCATTAATATTGTGATAGTTAATTATTAGTAACTTTTTAGCATTTTCTTTCTCTTTTGGACTCTGAATTATTGTCAGTGAGTACATGAAGGCTCTTTCTTAGCAGTATGTTTCTAAGATCTACATCTCTTTCTTTGTGAAGTCTTCAGAAATATACATTTAAATGGATATTTCTGAATTATCATATCACTGTCACTGTCACTGTCCTGTTGTTCATCGATTTGCTCGAGCGGGCCCAGTAACGTCTCCATTGGAGACTTTGTTGTTACTGTGTCTGGCATATCGAATACTCTTGGTAGCTTGCCGGGCTGTCCGAGAGGGGCGGAGGAATTGAACTCGGGTCGGCCATGTTGGCTGCGTGCAAGGCAAACGCCCTACCGCTGTGCTATATTTTGTGGAATTACCTTAATTCAGCCAGTATCCTTGAAGTATATTATTAGGTTTGCTATGTTAGAGTTAATGAAATAGACATGTGTAACTGCCAAATTAGAATGTTTCAATCGCAATTTATGAAGTCAACTTATGACAGATAGCCAGGAGCAAGACCAGAACCATGGGGGAAAGTTAACACAGTTAAGATACAAACAAGATTGTAAGGATCACATTGAGCCCTGGATACATTTCCTTCAAGTATCTTGCCCCTTCCACTTTTATGTTAACTTTCCCACTTACAGGGTGGTTTTGAGAGCTGGAATTAATAATTCAGCAAGACTTTTGCAGGTTAATGATGTCCTGGGGCAACAATATATATTTACTGTAGGGAAGAGGGCAAATATGTTTAGATATAGTGTCACTTTACAAGTTTGCCTGTTGATGAGCCTGGGCTTTATTTGCATTTGGTTGGGCAGAACACCTGTGGATTCAGACCATAGTGGGTTGTCCTTGTTGGTGACAAATATGGAGAAGACACAGCTGTCAGTCCTGAGATGGTATGATTATGGCCTGTGATTTTATTTGTTTCTATTCACAAGTAAATTTCTTATTTTTTCTTTTTTTTCTTGTGGAGTGTCTAACCGATTACTAACAACTGTTTTTTTTTTAAAAAAAGCACATCTTATTAATTTTGCCTTCATAAGTGCCTTACAAGTGCCACACCTAATTGAAATATATTCATTACTTTGAATCATGATTATCACTTACTTTGAGATTCAGCCATTTCTTAATTTTCTTTAACTTTATAAAAGTCTTGAATTTTAAATTCACAGAACAGTAGGCCTACTGAGAGATTTTTTATGTTTCTGATAAGTTCTCAATTTGGTGCTATTGTTCCTGGCCAACAAGTCACTCATTGTACTATAATTTTGAAGTAGGTTTTCTGAATTTTGAAGTAATTTTTAAAAAGGGATCAGTCACAAAATGTGGGAAAAGTTTCTTTGACAAATATTATTTATAGTTAGGTCTATTGGTCAGATCATTGTGTGGAATAATATTCTTTGAAAATGAGGCTGGTGTAAGC